ACAGCAATCACACACCAAGCTGATTATATGTTCATAAACCATAAGTGCCAACATACAACAACAGAGCCTGAACTACAGTGTGCTCACGGCTTCCTTCCCTGCCCTTCCCCCACCCCCTCCCAAATTTGTCATGTTTCTGAAATCCTAGCATTCCTATCCTAAACCAGAACAAAACATTCTCTCTACTGCGTCTTCAGTGCCAGATCTGGATCCCATGCACTCTGGGGAACAGTCAGGGTCCAGCTGCGTGCCGGCACCTGAGCTGGGGTAGCCAACACCACCAGCACCACCGAGTTTCTCAGCTCTCACTCGAAACTGGCATCCTTGGAGCATTCTTGGTGGGGCTCGGCACTCAGTCCTTCCCGTCATCGTCACTGCTTTGGAAGGATGTATCCGGAAGGCAGGGCTGCCTTCCCAGGGCAGGGGAGCTTTCGTAAGTGTTTTTAGCACGTGGTGACGTTTACTGAGCAGCTCTCCTTCGGGAATACGTCAAGATGTATTCACGTGCATAAGAGTGACCACGGGGAAGAAAAAGAATCCCCTTATTTCAACAGATTTGCTCCAGATGTGGGTGAGAACGGTTTAACTGGCGAAAAAGGTTTTCTCTTTTGAGACAGAAAAGTCAAGACATGGGTAACTGGAGTCCTGTCCCAGAGGGCTGACAACTCCAGTCAGCTTTTCTTAGTAAGAGCCTGAAATCTGATATCAGCAGAGTAGGTGATCATATCGGTCTCTTCTCCACTTTTGCTCTTTTTAAAATTTTGCCTTTTGACTTGAAACTGTTCTAGCATATAGGGAATTTACTCCAAAGAGTAGCATTTTTATAAGAAGAAATTCTTCCCTCCTTGCACTTCAAAATGTTGATACAAACAAAAGAAGCAGCATATTAAGCATGATTTTAAAATATTTTTAAAAGCCCAGATCAACAAATTAATCTTGAATTTTCCAACAAAATGTTAACTATGTCTTAAGCTAACTTTAAATTCCTTGCTGAAATAATAAAAAACACAGCCAAAAATATGAATATAAAGCAATTTTAATTCTCCTCTAGATATTTATATCAAAGAAATAATACTCATGTCCAAGTACTGTACATACAATATCTTCCTTATAAACTCTTTAGTTTAAAACACATGTACAAAATTGCACATTGCAGTTTGCAAAAAATCATAAATACCTTTTGCATGTAAACAATTCCAGCACAAGGATCAATGTTATACATTCCAAAATGTCTAAGTGTCTGTTCACAAACAAAAACAAAACAGAAACCCTACTGTGATCTCCATAAAGGTTCTAATGTTACAAATCAATCATTAACAGATTTCTAACTGATGTACTACACACAGGGATACATAAATGAGCACAAGGCAAGTCGCCTTTTAGTCATAAGTACTTAAGACAGAGGCTTGGAATACAATCCTCCTGCCGTATAAACCCACGGTATCCATCCCACAGCATTAAGTGGTAGCAGCACTGACTTAATTTTTCCAAGACTTCCAATTGCCGTATGTCTCGCTTTTAATTCTTAAACAAGTTGGCTACCACTGAACAGTAGGAATTTGAAAATTATTGTAAACACAGTTATCACCGTTGTATATTCAGTAAGTTACAGTATTCTCCTAAGCACATCACTAAATTAAGAAAAAGTTTTACATTTAATCAAGTGCAAGATGCCAACTAATATTGTCCACTTTGTCTCAGAAATAAGTATTTTTTAATATAATACCACACAGTCTGCAAAAGTAATGTAAAAAAATTACTATGGACATAATCCTCAGTTGTATACTATTAAGCCCTGTAGCTTGTTTACATTAAAAAAAAAAAAAAATCACCACATCAGAAAAAATGATCTCAGAAGTGTTCTTGAAAATCTCTCCTGACCAAATCCAGCAAATGAGTAGCTACTAAATTTTGTTTTGCTATCACCTCCATCTGTGTGCAATGTCCTTGCTAGCACACCTGTCTGAAGACTTCCCAAAATTAATAAGGTATAAAAAGATCTATTGTATCTGAATGAAGTTACTTGTTTTGTTGTCTGTTTGGGGTTTGTTTGTTTGTTTGTTTGGGTTTTTAAATCTATTCACATGCTGTAATTTTAGAATATTCTTCCAAAAGCAGAGATTTTTAAAGGGTTTCTCAGAGGCTTCCTCTGTGCCAGCTCATTTAATAAGGCAGAATAAGAAGGTGCTCACAAACTCAACTTACAAAAGCCCAGGAAAAGATGCAGGCAGACACCCACCCCCCAACCAGTTGCAAGTAAGCTGCTGGAAGAGCAAAGCCAAATCTGAACTGCTCTGCCTCCACCTTTCGTTTTGAACAGCTACCCTGAAGAAGAAAGTTTCAGCGCCACGCCTTCATGCCACCGTGGAGAACCAGTTTGGATAGAAGAGCTTTAGGAAGTGGCAGTTTGCTCACACTTCTCCTTTTGGACAAAAAGAGGGCTTAGAGATGCTCGTCCCTGATGCAGCAGGGAGGGTCCTCTTTGCATTTTCAGGAAATCACTTGGTCTGTTGATTAGCATGTGGCACAAATCCCAGTGAGGACCACAGAACTTGTGTGACACTGGCAGTTGCCCCAGCTCACGATATTGCAAGGTATTGCGATTATAGTACTGCAGATCATTAAGTGTTTTCTGCATCACGGAAGCTCAGCAAGAACCACAAAACACCGAGCGCTTTCAAAGCTGGGTCCTATTGCCCAAGAGCTCCCTCCTCCTTTATCTGTCGGGAGTTAGTTGGTCTGTTCAGCTGATGGAAAGACACACTGCTCAGAGAAGGACGGATTTCAATTTGCACCTCACCAGAGCTCCTCCTTTTTCAGGGGTTCTATTTTGAGTCATACCAACATGCCATCTTGAGCACCACACAGCAAGGGCACATGTGCAGTCTCCTAAACCTCAGAGAGATTTTTTTTTTCAGTCTAGGCAGAAACTGCAGGAACAACAAGCCAGCTTTAGATGAGCCACTCCAGAAAAGAGAAAACTGCCCTGGGAGAATGTCGTACTCCACAGATGGAAAAACACAGAAAGCTGGAAAGCTACTTCACCAAAGACTTATTCAGCAATACAAACCCAGCTGCCCTTCCTGCTAAGTCCCTGGATAGGGAGCCTAAGCTCTTAACATCTCTACCCTCCTCTCCTTGTGACCTTAAGAAGCCATTAAACCCATTCCTGACTAAAAAGAGTGGGAGTGGCAAAAATCAGTGGACAAATTTCGGTGGGTGAGAGGCCTATGCAGACTCGCCGATCGTTTTCTATTTAAAAAGCAGGAATTGCACAATACTATATTGCAACACTTATTCACTTCCCTTTGTACTGTACAAAGTAGCAAAGTGCAACCAAAGCAAAATCACTGTTTGGATTGACGGCTCAGAAGTCAGAACTGCGCCTAGCGTCTCTGTAATTAACAGCACTTTGCAACAAAAGCAAAACAATTCTCCGAGATTTACCTGCGTTGGGGCTTTCCTTCCAGGTTTAGGTTTGTTATGGTGTGGAGTTTTTTGTTTTTTGGTTTCGGTTTGGTCCTGTTGAGTTTTGGTTTGTTTTTTTTTTTTTTTTTTTTTCCTCAGGGAGGTGGGGAAGAGGAAGGATGTAGTGGGGGCCGGGAGAGTTAACGAAGCCTGAATATCTAATCTGTTACATACGGAGGAATGCTCAAGGGGCTTGCAAGAACTTGTTTTGCTACACGTTGAGCAACACCACATGGCAAAGCCTTGAAATTAGAGCAAATGCTTGAAGACAGGGCGTAGCTGCCTTTTGGAGCTCGTCCTTCACGGGCCGCATTTTATTAGAGAGCAGAGCTTTGCATCATCAGTCAGTACTCAGACCTGGGCTTTACTTGATGACATTTCAGCATGGTGGTTGCTATGGCTTTAAACAAATAAGGGTAAGTGTGAAATCACCAGTCACCAGGCCAAACAGGGAGGGGCACAGTTTCCAAAGAAGATAAGTAACTTAAGCACTGACAACAAAACGAAGTAACTTAAAAAGCATCCTGAAGAGCAATCTTAACTATTTGCCGCTTAAACATGCAATCATTATATACTGCTTCAGAGATAAATACTATTTCTTCCTTGCTTGGATTCCTTTTTTTTTTTTTCCCTTACTATTGCTGATACCTCCAACTATCATCTCTATCTATTATCAATGGGGAGAGGAATAAAGAAGTAAACTTTATTAGACACTTTTGGCCTGGTGGGAAAGTGGTATCATTCCACAAAAATACCACAGACATATCAGCTTGTGCTGTGATTTCACTAGGGTGTACACAAAGACTTTCAAAAATCACAAGGAACTACAATACCATTGTAGTAACTGGCAGAAAAATGGTTTGGACTGGCAATGACAGGACACATTTTAGGAATTCTCTACTCTGAAAGTGTCATCTTGCAGACTGTGAATAGGTGTCCTAGCTACTTATGGCCATAGCTTATGTGACATTTTATATAATAAGAATATTTAACTTCCCAAATATTGGTTAGCATTTTCTCAATACTTCTGTCACCATCCCATGAAGAATATTAAAAGGCAGAATGGTAAAAGTTGGAAAAAGACAAGAGTTCAACCTCTGGCTCTACTCGTGAAGAAAGGCAAATTTTATTTCAGTATCTTCTACTGATATCTTTCCATAGCAGTTACCAGGAAAAAGAAGGAGGGTGTCCTAAACACAATCTCTGAAACAGTGCACTAACTTTATCCTATGCCACCCCATAGCTTGTGTCCTGCATTACAAGAAAATCAGGAAATTTATGAAAGAGAGATGTGAGAAAGATTGTCAAGCTTGGTATGTTATTTTTCAAACAGCTCAGCATGTACCAGAAGATTTATTTATTTATTTATTCATTTATTTATTTACTTATTAAGACTGATAATTTTTAAAGGTCAATTTTCCACGTGAGGCAGGAGGGACACACATCCCTCAGGGCAGGGGGAAGCTTTCTGAAGAGGGCAAGCAAATGATACCAAACAGCTGATACCAAACAAATGATAGCAAACAGCTCCTCGGAGTTCAAGTTACCGGTCATGATTTTTCATGTGTTCAGTCCACTGTCTCAGAACAAGGATACAGAGAGACGCCTGACTGTTAACAGCCTCAGCTTTCTCCATCTATCACAGAAGTAATAACACAATTGCACAGTTGCCACTGATTATATATAAGGGACCAGCTGCAAGAGATGCTTCAAGGTACTTAGCAGAAAGGATTTAAAATTTATTTAAATAGATTTCGAGGGAAGAGTAAAATAGGACTTCATCTAGAAAAGTAACTGAACTTCCAAAACCAAAACAAACAGATTCTGCAACCAAAGATATTATTTTTTTTTCCCCCGGGGATGGGATGGAGGGTCTGTTACTGATCTCCAGTGACACTGCTCTCCAGACTGTATGGACCTTACTTAGGTGACTTACAATTCCACCCATAACTAGGTCTTAACTAGTAAGTAACAGTAGTAGTAAATCTTATCAGCAGTGTGCTAAACATCAGAATCTAGCAGTGTATTAGTGCACAGTGAACTGGTCATATCTATTATCTCCATGTTAGCAAGGCTTCATACTCAACCATCACTTCAAAGCATTCCTACAGAAATTATATTCTAATTTCTTTCAGAAAAGTCATTTAGCCAGAATATACACTCCTTAAACTATTGCAGACCGTGTTTCTTACTAATACTAGAAATTCAGAGCAAAGCTCAATTTACAGCTAGCTACACCATGGGTACACACTTTTAGATAGCACACAAAAAAGCAAAGGGCAGGTAGGTACTCATTTAGGCTGACTCCCTTACAAACATTATTCATAACAACTATCCCTTCACTTTGCAGTAAACTACTACACACAAACTGCAGCACTTCAGATAACATTAAGGCTAAATGTGACTTTAAAATTATCTTTTTGCATTAACTTAGCATCGCAAGATGTGACAGTCCTCCAATATGACTGGAAATCTAAAAAAAAAAAAAAAAAAAAAATCACCTTGTAATCACAGGCAGAAATGCAGCTTAGTTTTCTTCTGGAAAAACTTGACCACAACAAAAGAATACTAAAAACCCCATTGTGTACTGCTGCAGCTAAGGAAAATCACAGTTCCTTTATTTGGTCATGCCCTTCTCTATGCATGCAGGTGTCCATGCACAGCGTCTTGATATGTGTTTGCAGGTATCTGTGTGCTTCAGAAGAATTAGTTCATAAAGGTTGGATTTGCTGTTTCTTCAGTTAGTCCTCACTGACTTGAGAGGATACCACCCAAAGCAGAACTCCAGCACAAGAACTCATGTCCCCTGCAGACACAAGACCAAGATTCAGTGTTTTTACATCAGAATAAGACTCCTGTCAAGACAACTCAAACAAAAGTTGCATTGGTGCAAAGACACAGATTCTAGACTGGTTTCCTTCCTCTCCCCCACCACTATTTCCTCAGCAGGGCCCTGCAAATGCAGCTAGAGCAAGGCATTCTGACTGACCCACATGCAGTCAACTGTTTCAACATCCAAGCAGAGATCCGGTTTGTAACTATATTGAAAGTAAACCTTCAGGTATGCAACAGCTTAGGAAAGAGCGCTTCCAGGCTTAAGCAAGCAGCAAGGATCAGTGCCTGCAGCAAGGCAACAGGATGGTGTCTCGGAAAGTTGCTGTTGTCATGAATTACGTGTATACATTTCTAGACCCTTCTAGCAACACACAGACAGGAGCAGCAGGGTCTCCACCGTGCACTGACTGGTGCAGTGCTTCTCAGAAACCTGCATTTAGCTTGTCACACATGACCACTTCCAGGAGAAGTTGCGTCTGTCCCGCCTCCAAATTACTGAGTCGTTATGAGGAGAGAAGTTTCACAGCACAAACAGCTGGAAGCCACTTCATAGGATAAAAAGAGACAGATCTTTGAAACACAGGACAGGAGTAATTACGTATTACTACAACCTCTTGTCTCCCATAATGTACCATAATGGCCTGAATCTCCATATGTTCAGATTTAATTCATCACCACCTTCACAGTAAAGTTGCACCATGTGCAGCAAGATTAACAAGTTTCCTACAAACTTTAGAGTCCGCACTTCGTCACAGGAACACTTATCATACTGCATCAGGTACAGTAAACCCTGATGCAAACCCACAGCAAGTGACTGTGGCATGAGAAGGATTGGTTAACATTTTGCACGATTACTATGCACTGTGAAAACTTTCTGTCCAAGACTTTTTCTGCTGATACAGGTCGTGCCAAATGTTGAAAAAAGGTGAATTCCTGACAGATTTCACTGCCTACCTCTGCTGGACTACATGCAGCCACTGCACACAGTACTGATCAAAAGAAGCAACCAATTAGTGTCAAAACAGACCGAGAACTCTTCAGAAGTCATTCTTACTGTAAAACTTCAAACAAAACACCGGAAAAATGGAAGTGGTTTTCCACAAATCAAATATGTGAACGGATATGTCATACTCCAGTTTGCCTACTTGCTAAACATAGACACTTGGAGTATCAAGTAAGGAAAGAGCAAAATTATCCAGCAGCAGCTACAGCTGCACATATGAATAAACAAAAATGTAACGCATCGCTTTTTCTTTTTTAACTTGCACTCCAGAAGCAGGACACATAAAATGTGTTCAAGAATGACTTATGAGGAATGAAGAATTAGATGGGTTTGTTTTTTTCTTGCATATTAATCTTAGATATAGAAAACTTTTCTCTAAGAAGCTGGTAGATTCAAATAGCCAAGACTCTGGTAATGGCAGCCAAGACATTATTTTTGGCACAACTAGTAATTCAGACATAGCACACATCTGTGCTTCAGACCTCATGAAAAAAATGCCATACAGTACTTTGGAAAGCATCAATGAGCTATATAACTGATTAAAAATCAGTAGCCAAATAAAATTCCACTTTAAGAGCTGCAAACAGCAGAATGCCTCAGGGCTTAACCCGGGGAGATCACTCCTTTGTCAAAGGTGAGACAGACACAGTCAATCAGATATTTAAATGAACAAAGGATGCCTCATGACTATTCCTTCAGTAAAGACATAAATACAAACCAAGACAATGGAGAACTGTGGTAAGATCAGCAGTGACTACTGACATGCAGTGAAGAGTCCAAATCTGTAGAGATATTTAGATCTTGGAAGACCATCAAAGGCTCATGACAGAAATCATCACTATCACCACCGGAATCACTCCTCTCCATGCTCGGGACTTACCACCCCCAAACACCTGTGCTCCTCAAAGTGTGCAAAGTACCTGTGTTTTGGGAATTGCTCTCTCAGCATGCCAAACGGGCTTGACCTGGAGTCACAGTGAAAGCTGTAAGAACCACTCACTGACCACCCGGACCTACCTGGAGACCATATGATACTGACAGACTTCACTACCTGTTCTATGCTGTAGCCCAAACCACCCATGTTCCTTAGCAATGCCATCATCTGAGGCAGTCCTAGCAGAGTATTTTCCTTCCACTCATAGCAAGATGGGAGCCCCACCCTCTGCCCAAGGAAGGGGTGAAGACTTCCCTTACCAAAAACATTCCTCCTCCTACTCCCCAAGACAGAAGAGATCTGATAACAATTCAAATAAATGAAAGTCACAGATAAATCAAACTATTTTGCTGTAGCACCTAAATAAGAAGGCACTTCACATCTAAACCCAAGACACTGGTTCAAGCTCATTCAAAAGCCACTGCTGAGCAGCAAGCGAGGTGTGCACAGAGAAAAAGCATCCACACCCCCCCCCCGAAACAGACAGAGGGAGAGACCACGGAATCTCCAGAGCAGAGATTACACCTGGGGCAAAGAAACAAAGAGGGGTGTTTATTTGTCACGGGTTCACATCTGGAATGCAAAACCAGATCAGAAGGGCATCAGGGTAGCCTGCAAATCAAGTCATGAAGCAAGAATCTTCGCAAGGACTAGTGAGTAGTGTGAGCAAATACAACAATGCATGGCACTTTTGAAGGGTGAAGAAAAATGTTAAAAAGTGCTAAGATTAGGGTGAACATAAACTGTTTTGCTTGAGATTTTAAATTCTTTTTTGTTTGGGTTTTTTTGGGTTTTGTTTGTGAGGATTTTTTTTTTTTTTTTTATTACAGTGACACACACAACCTGCTTGCAGTTACTGAAAAGAAGCTACGTGGATGGAAATCATATAAACAGACTGGAACATTTTTACCCAGCATCTATCTTTCAGCATCTCACAGTGACCAAAGTTTTAGGCACAAAACCAAAACCTAAAAGAAAAAGGCATTTAGCCACAAACAGAAGAAAAAAGGCAGACAAAATAGAGAAGCCATACTTAAATATTTAGGAACACTGCAGAGCCAGAAGTCTGAGCACTGATACATTTTAGAAGACAAGGACAATCAAGCATGACAGCTGCAGCAAGTAAGCACTCCTGAGTCTTTTTATATTAGTTTAAACTGTTAGGTGCTTAGGCTTTCCACTCAAGTATCTGCTATAGATAAAGCAACTTTCAGCAGAATCAGTAGGAAAAAACAACCAACCACCCCAACACTACTCTCAGATTTTTGTCATGTCAGTGTTAGATCCTCTGCCTTAGCCTAAATACCAGATAAAAGACGGCATTTATGAAGGCAACCTGTCACTCTAAAGAACACATTTTCTAGTTTTGGCAACCCTACTACCAGAACAGTAGCCTCTGTCAGGGAGCTGGAGCTGCAGGCCTCACTAGTAGCCTCTCATCAGCCATCAGGGTAACAGGGTAGGCCTGTCAGCACTTCTATCACCTAGCAGATGCCACTTAGAAGACAGAGCAGGCTATCAAAGAAGTTACCACACGAGGTATCTGGGAGACTGGGTGTGAGACTGCTCTTGCAGAATGTTCAAACGGGAGCAAGGTAATGTGGGGTGGTTTCCAGCTTCAACACCATGATGCTGAGAAGGGGGACCTCTTCATAACCCTCCTAAAATATAGCCCATTACAGCCCTGCCCGTGACTTGGAACTGCAGTGATTTCTTGTGTCTTATGCATCCCCCATGGCTGCTTGCATATTGCTAATTTATTATGACCAGAAATGATAAGTACAGAACAAGTACTGCATAGCCGCATTTATCACTGTCCCGTGTTCTACCACAAGAGCTTTACCTCGCCCTGCACTCATCTACAAGGACCAAAAGAGCTGTGTTGACCCATGTAAATTTTATGATTTTTTTCCAAGATTCCTTAAAAAAAATCCACACCTTGCTACATCTACAGTAGAGCATCTCACATCTCCCAGGCAGCATTACCTCTTTCACTAGGGAAAGTATGGTAAGAATTGGGGGAAAGAAAAATCTTTTTCAGTTTCTCCAGTCTTGCAGCATCTTTGCAGATGGAGGGTTTTAGTTTACCACAAAGTAAAAACTGTATTTTTCACCCAGTTATTATGTAACAGGAAGTGCTACAGATTGTATTCTGTATGGTTCAGAATGCCCTCATGAAGTCTTTAAACCTGTGCTAAGATAAAAATATTGTTCTATCTGCCCTTCAGTAACTCTAACAGCAGAAGGTACTGTTAACAGGCATCACTTCAACCACCGAAAAAGGCTCTGGTGATATGATTAAACAGTTATACAATGATTAATATGGCTTCTACCTAATTTGCATATGCATTAAGAAAAGAAATATCCTCAGAGCATCTCAGCTACAATAACACAATTACTATGCATTGTCATGGCATTTCACACGTGTGCCAGGAACGAGTATGCACTAAAAGGAAAAGCTCATACACTTGATCGCTGCAGCTCGAATTTCTGAACAGATAGCACTCACGTATCCCCAGTAAAAGCATGAAAAAATGTGAGTCTATCCCGTTCTTCTTGAATTTCAAATCATCAAGTGTAGCCTTCGGAAGAAGTTAAGAGATGTTTACCAGCTCCTGAGTGGCTTTAACGGATCTGAGCAATTGCTGTACGGGTAAAGATGTCTATGCCCCCTTGGCTCCTCACACAATTCCCCATTTTCACCAGCTGGCACAGACACATATCCCCACGTAAGATTTGCCTCTGAGTTAAAGCAGAGAGTTTTTTTAGCACAGTTTCAACGAGGGGAGAGGGCCCCGCGCTGCAGCTGGATCTGCTCAGGAGAAGCCCTGCCCTCCCCCGGCGGCAGGGCCAGCCCGCGGCCTCTGCACCGAGGGGCTTCTGGTGGGGTGACCGTCACACTCCGACAGACCCTTCCCACTGCACCACGCCTGTACAAGGCTCGGCAGCGCTGCGGTAGCGGCTATGCTCAAAATACAAAGGTGCAGCAGAAGCAAGGAAGGCAGTGGTACCGAGCAAGGGACCTAAAGCTTTCAAAAACTTATTGAGGATTATGTCTAATCAGAGGAAACAGTTCCTTTGCTATACTCTCCTACTAGTAAATTCTTGACAAAGAAATAAATCACACCAATTCTTCCCAACCAGAAAAAAACGTTTCACATTCTAGTGCTCTTTCTGTCCTAGAGTATTGCAGAAAGTTTCTTTAGAACAAAGTAGACCAAGAAGCAAGATACACAGATTTCTACTGAAAAATAAATCTAATTCTCCATAATATTTCTGTGATTTATTCAAACAGAATACAATGGAATTATCACCTTTACAGCTAACCCACCCCAAACCTGAGCCCTTTTCTGTATAGCACTGAATGGTTACTATACTGATTAAAGAGCAAACACTACTGGAATGTACACAGTGAAGGAAAAAAAAAAAAGTAAAGCTCTTTTTGCCAAAGTAACCATTTTCTCTACTAACATGTTATCTAGAAAAATAAGGTCTAGGCAACGTCCAAAAGTGTTCAAGTTTCAATAAATAACTATCAATGCCCCAAGTTTGCACTGGCACAAGAAATATGGAGCGTACAGTTTAGAAAAGTATTTTCATATGACTGAGTCAGCAATGCATTTCATCCTGCTCAAGATTTACAACAAAAATCATTTCCCTCCAGGGTTCGATTTTAAAATCAAAGCCATGTAAGTGCAAGAGCACCCACACAGCTGTCTTAACTCTCAATGGCAAATTAAAGCTCTAGAGAAAGACAGTACTTTAAAAAAAGTTCTTTATCAATACCAAGAAAATATACATAGCCATATTATGTTTTAAATATATATATACACACGCACATCTTTTCAAAAGGTATGATTCTGGCTATTTTTTTTTTTTTAAGTTTGAAAAGCTTATCCATTGCTATACAGTTCAGTAAGGTGTATTAGGAAACACACGTTTTATATCCCCCATGAAAATAAAGTTGAATCTTTCTGTAAACAGTAATTTTCTTATTTTCCGAAATCTCTACAGACCTCAAGTACTTCACTGAAAAATAACCACCTGCCCCAGAACCACCCACGGAGACCCTTCGCTGCTGAACGCGACATCGACAGATCTCGGGAAACTCTTAGCAACACCCGGCTCCCGCAAAACGCCTTCTCCGGGCGAAAATAAATAATAATAATTAATAATAATATTAAAAATAATAATAGCAGAAGGGCGGCGGCGGGCGCGCACCTTGGCCCCGCGGAGCCCCCCGGGCGGAACGGGGCCGGGGCCGGCGGGGTGTCCCTCCTCAGCAGGCGCTGGTCTCCGGCGCGGCGGCGGCGGCAGCCTCGGGGGGAGCCTCCCTGGGCTGGGCGGCGGCATGGGGAGGAGGATGCCCGGCGGCGTTGATGTGGCAGCCCGAGGAGAGGTGGCTGCGGACGCGGCCCTGCAGCTGGGTGACCTGGGCGCGGAGCAGGTTGGCGGTGGCGGCCAGCTCGGCGTTCTGCCCCTTGAGCGCCTTCACCTTCTCCTCCAGCCGGGCGATGCGCTCCAGCTTCCGCCGGCGGCACTTGGAGGCGGCGATGCGGTTCCGCAGCCGCTTGCGCTCTGCCTTCAGCCGCTCCTGGCTCTCCGCGTCCAGCGGCGACAGCGACGGCGGCGTCGGCGCGCTGCTACCGCCCTCCCCGCCCGCCGACGGCGGCACCTCGGGCACCGTCTGCGGCTCCTCCAGGGACCGCGCCGGCGGCAGCCGCCCGCTCCCCAGACCCGCCGCGCCGAAGGCCAGGCCCGGCGGCGGCGGCGGCGGGGCGGAGGCGGCGGAGTAGGCGCTGCCCGAGGGGCTCAGCGGACCCGCGGGGTTGAAGCCGCTCAAGTTGGTGTAGACGGCCGGAGGGTCAGCGGCAGCAGCGGCGGGGGCTCCCGGCGGCCCCGGGCGGGCGGTGCAGCAGGGTCCCGGTGCGGAGAGCGGCGGCGGCGGCGCCGCCAGGAGCTGGTTCTGCTTGTGCAGGTCGGCCAGGGCCTTGACGAAGCCGTCGGCGAAACCCTCCTGCTCCTGCGTCACCGGCTGCCGGTAGAGGAACGGCCCCGCCGCCGCCGCCCCGCCGCTCCCAGCCCCGGGCGCCGCTGGCCCCGGGCTGCCCGCGCCCAGCCCCGCGCCCCCCTGGATCAGCAGCTGCTCCAGGTCGGCGGCCGGCGGCAGCTTCAGTAGTGGCAGCTCCGCAGCAGACCCCAGCGCGGCCTCCGGGCCGCCGCGGGCCGCCGCCGCCGCCGCCCCGCCGCCGCTGCCCGGCTCGGTGGAGCCCGCGGTGGGCGGCGGGGCGGCGGCGGGCGGCGGCGGCAGCAGGCGCAGAGCGGCCGCGCTACCGCGGGCGCCGGCGGGCGGGCGAAGGGTGAAGGGCCCCGGGAGCGGCGCGGGGGCGGCGGCCGACAGGTCTCGCTTCTTCCCGGCGCCCAGCAGCAGCTTCTGCCCCGCCGCCGCCGCATCGGCTCCGGGTCCGCCGGCGGTACCGAAACCCGGCAGCGGCACGAAGTCGGGCAGCAGCTCCAGTCCTTCCTCGGGGTAAAACGGCGCCTCCATCTTCACGGCGGATCGCCCGCTACGCCCGCCGCTCATGCTGCCGCCCTCGCCGGCCGGCGGCTTCGGCGCGGGGCGGGCCGGGCTGGGCGGCTGCTCCGCGGGGCCGGCCGCCCTCGGCTGGCAGCGGGGACTGAGCCGCCTCCCGGCGCCGCCGGACCGCGCCACGCCCCGGGTCCGCTGCCCGCCCCGTCGCCGCCTCCTGCTGCCTCCGCCGGTACCCTCCTTGCTCCTTCCCCCGCCCGCCGGGCTTGCGCGGAACGCCTTCCCGGTGGGGTGTCCGCGGGGAGCCCGCGCTGCTCCTCCCCCTCGGAGACTCGCCCCGCCGCTGCGGTGCGGGAGGGGAGGCGCCGCCGGGGCCTTCGTGCGGGCAGAGGGGTTTCTCGGGGCATCGCTCCAGCCGGGGCGCGGATCCTGAGGGAGGAGAGCGAGCGAGGGCCACGCGTGGCCGCGGCTGTGGGCAGGTGCTCGTGAGCTGGGACTGTGATGGATGGGCACGGGATAGTGCAGGTGTCGAGGGTTAACGATTCCCGACAACGCAAGCGCAAGCGTCGGAGTCCACCGGGCAAACACTTGGCCGTCAGGAAGCATGCTGGCTTGTCAAACCAAAAGTCCCTTGGCAGAACAGGATGGATTTGATGGAGTTTTCCTCTGAAAAAATTAGTCAAGAGAAAGGGTTTGAAACAGCCTAGACATGTTTCCAACATTTTCAACCTCACTGAAATGTAAAAAAAGCCGTTTTCAGTTTGGAGGTGGTATTTATTATCTCTACTCAAGACAATTGCCTATTCCCCTTTCCAAGTCCCTGAAATTCTTATGGGGTGAGGAAATTTCCTTGCACCCAGTCTTTTAGAAATCCCTTTTGCTTTAGGATACCAAAGTGATTCTCACAGAGCTACTGAAAGCTCTCATTTAAGTCTTCAAAGCCGTCTTGCTGACTGGGGTCTCGGTGGCTCATCTACACATTCACCAGATCTCCTCATCTCTAGTGGAACCCCCAGCATCCCCTCAGTTAGGCATCACTCTTCTGCAATCTACTCATGCTTTCTCTCCAGGCATTTCCTCCCTACACGTTGTGCAAGTGCCTCTTCCCCCAGGATCTAGTGAAGCTCCTGAGCTCTGCTGTACCTCCACTGTGCCTGGGCTGGCTCCAAAAGTGGGGCAGGAGGCAGAGACGTTGCTATCAAGTCTGGAAGGACTTTGCCTCAGAATCCCACTTGATATCCGTAGCAGAACTGGAGTGTAGATGCGCCAACCAAGGCCTGGATGACCTTTACTCAAGTACTTTGGGGGCCCCAGTTACACACCCTGCCCACAGGGCAGGAGCTCCATTTCATCTCAGTCGAGCACCTCCAGTCCCTGCCCAGTTATGTCACAGGAGTTCCTCTCTCCAGCCCCATCTCCTGAGTGAACCTTGGACCTGTGTTTCCAGTTCTGTTCCTGGCACCATCTCCTGCTGCTCCTGCCTGAACTGCCTCACAGTGATAGTGGACCTCGTATATGTGGTTCACCACGTCGCCTTGTCTGGGTGCGTCCGTGGGCCCAGTCACTGGTGTCTGCCCTGCCCTGCCCTGCTGCAGGACCCTGCCCAGGTTGGTGAGCCTGGGCATTGGCTTTGGCCACCCCAAGCTCATCTTGCCTTGGGCAAAATGAGCTTTACAAAGCCTGGCTCCGCTGGTGGCAGAGTCAGTTGCTGCCCACTAAACTGGCAGCAGCAGGACTCCAGGGAGAAGAAAGCCATCAGGCAAAAGTCAGAAACAGAGGCATTTGCATGGATGGGGAGAAGCAAGCATGTTTTTCTTGGTGAGGAAGGTGGTGCTAGAAAGAGCTTGTTTTTGTTTCCTTGTCTCTTGGCTGACCCAGCAGCAGAGGAGCGGAGCTAGCAGTGCTCAGCTAGCACTGAGTACTGAAAACAGCTCATGTGAGTGGCTTTGTGGAAGTATTGAGGCTGCTTGCTCTACCAGCTTTGCTGTCATATTCCTGGGTGAGCAAATGGCAGCGATCGATGCCTTCCCTCAGCCAGGCAAAGAGGCAGACAAGCCACAGCCTCCAAGCTCAAGCCAGTACACCTTCTCCTCTTTCCCTTACAGAGCAAGTGCAGAGGGGGAAAGTAGTCTGAGGAGAAAATGACACCATCTGGGTGGTGTCAGATAAAAAGCTGTGGACATTCACTTGGGTCTGGGGTTATTATCAGAGAATTTCCAGATAAGATGTAACCCATACTTGGGTGACGCTAAATGGAGGTTCCTTTGTCGGTTCTGTATGAAAACTCTCTGTCACTTATGTAGCATGGTCTTGGTCCCTGATCTAATGCAGAGTTGGAAAGTGAGACTACAGAATGATAACACGTCGAAGCTGCTTGAAATACACTTACTTGTAACAACGGAT